CTTTTAGCTCTTTCTTTTAAGCTTGCTGTCAATGATGAATATTATTTTGTTTCCAGTCCTATCGAGTACATCCACATATGCACTAACATTCATAGACAAATCCAATTTACAAAATTATTTGCATGGGTAGCTAGGTCAACACATTGCCTGTATTTGAAAAGATTAGATACCTTTCTTTATTTGTTTTTTTTTCTGATTGCTGTTGACATAGAAGAAACATTTTGAGCACTCTGATATGTTTCATGTACGTCCGGGTGAACAAATTTGTATACATGAATATTTATGAATCTCAGTTTTCCCCAATGGCAGTTTACGATGGAAGAGAAATGTTTTGGCCATTTTAATTGATACCGATGCATGCAAAATTCTTTATGAGATACAATCACCGCACTAGAACTCTTGTACATATCCTTTCATTGGATCCAGTCACATAGGGTTACAGGTCTCAGGACTTCTTTTCATACTGCTGTTAGACAATGCTACTTGTTGTCTTAATTCTCTCAAGTGGCTGTATTTAAGACTATCATATATTTTCCATGTCACAAAAAGATGCTTTCTTTTTGAGCATTTATTCTTATGAGATGCATAACATTGTGCAGAACTCCAGTCGTGAGGTTCTGGTCCGAAGTTTTCAGCTAGCATTTTCATTACGAAGACTCTCTCTTTCTGAAGGAGGTAGGCCTGAAAATTTGATTTCACCCATACATGTGATTTTAACGGATTAGGTTGTTCTTTTCTCTTTACTTTTCAGTTTTGGGAAGGGGAGGTGTGATGGTGTGATGACCATTCTACTTGCGTAAAGAGAATCGTATGGCAATAGCTATTGCATACTTCCCATTTCAACTGTCATCATTGTTTGGCAAAATTTTGTGAGGTACTTTTGTGAGGAAAAGGAAAATAAAAGGAAAGAATGATGGTGTGCGCCCTGAGAAATTGCTTGTGATATATGGCAAGCTTTCTCATCCTTGAACCATACACATAACATGAGTAGGATTGAGGAGGCCCAATGAATTTGTTTTATCATTCAACTTGTCTCTGTCACGCAGATTTTGAAGCCTTAATGTTTGAGATATCTGAAGCTTTCTCAAGGATCTCTTAGAACTGAATAGGAAGTTTGAAAGAGTTTGTGGTGCTTGATTGGTTTGTTTATTGACCAGGAATATGTCTTCATGCTGATATTAATTGTTTGAAATTTAAAATCCATGGACCTTCTTCCAATACTAAACATGCGCACATGCGCACGGACTATGCAAATACACTATTAAGGACATGTAAGATTCATTTAGTGTTGGAGTGCCCAATATTACTTAATTTTAACAGTTTTTTATTTAAATGGGTGATATGGATAGTGAACATCAGGTTTATCCTTGTGAGGGGACTGGTTAACCACCTTGTTATATTCATTGGTCTTAATAAAGTTGTTTGGAATCCTTTGGAAGATTATTCTAAACCAGTTTGAACTCAACATGTATGTGGTAAAGGAGTCCAAATTGCCATAGTGATGATTTGGCATGATTCAGATCTGTAGGCATAAAGATGCATGTTTTTCAGGAGTTATCGTACCTACTGACTCATGATTTTACCTTTTCTTGTTGAATCAGATTTGATAGTGATGCATAGTGGACAAGGTTGAATTGACATTAATACGTAGTTAAATTGTCTACTCATGGTCCATTTCCACTTTTTTTGCAGGGCCACTGCTACCATCACGTCGCAGATCCCTTTTTTTCTTGGCAACTTCTATGATAATTTTTTCATCAAAAGCATATAATATTCTGCGGCTTATTCCATGTGTCAGGGCTACAGTTACAGATAAAACGGTAGGTGACTCATTGCTGATAAGCTTTTATCTGCATTGACTTCATGTTTACTGAGGGGCAACTAACTTCTCTTGGATATCATAGCAATGACATCATTTTTGGTTCGTTTCCTTTTGGTGCATCATTGTCATATAACATTTTCTTTGGGTCAAATTTAGATCATATTTTCCTTAATATTGTTCTGTATTTGTGTCAGGTTGATCCATTTCTGTGTTTGGTTGAAGATTGCAAATTACAGACCATTGATTCTGGATCTAGCCATCATAAAACCGTTTATGGATCTAAAGAAGATAATAATACTGCTCTGAGATTTTTTCAGAAATACAAATCACTGAGGACCAGAAGTTAGAATCCTTAGCTTCTGTCGTTGTGGAGAGTTTGGATACCTTATCAGATGTAAACCTTTGTATTATTGTTAAAACCCAAGTGGTGCTTTTGATGTTTAAATCATTATGACTTGACTCTTCTTTGTGCAGTCTGAGCAGTCCACCATAAGGGAGCAGTTGCTCAATGAATTTCTACCTGATGATGTGTGTCCTCAAGGAGCCCAGTCATTCATGGATGCTCCCCAAAAACTATATCAGTCTGATTCAAATAACCGTAAATCTCCAGATGAGGTAACTACTACATTTTGTGGCTTCCGCGATTTACTAGTTTATTGAGACTAATTAGTTTAATGATTATTGTTTAGGCTGCCCCAATTTTTGCAATAGATGATGATGCTCTAACAGATTCGTTCGAAAGTCAAGCTAAACACAATCCACAGTTGGACTTTGAAATCCCCAACCTGTTGAGTGTCAATCAACTTCTAGAATCAGTAAGTTACTCTTGCATGTGGTATTATGTATTTTGTTCATTTCAATCAGTAAGGGGATACTGATCCTGAAAGGATGGGGCAATTGTTGGTAGCTTGTATTGAGGAAAATATGTGATTGTAAAACTGGCTCTGCAGTTCTCTTTTTAGTTAGTTAGTGTTTTCTTTACTGATTTGCGGACTTATATTTATAAATATTTGCTGAGACATTATATAGTGCGCTTTTGAAGAGTTGGATGCCAAAGATGAGAATATGCTCAAGATTCCCCCCTAGATTATGCAACTTAACCTAACATTAATTTCACTTTATTTCTGGAGTAAATAAGAAACTTAACGTAACATTTTGTTTGCACTTTTATGCAATTTTGTTCAAGAAACTGGTTGAGTTTGCTTGATATGTTGTGGTTTTACTTTTAATATTTTGGGCATCCCCCCGCTTTGAAGCACTGCATCCTTGCCAGTGTAACTAGGAAACTCATTTTGGCAGCTTTTGCTGCATTAGAAACAGTAATATGTTTGCATGTTTGATTTCCAGTCACCAACACCTTTGTTGCATTTTATTTTGTTCTATGGGGTTATCTAAGACACTTTTCCTGGTGTCAGATAACAACGCCTGTGTTCGGCCATTTTCATAAATCATGATACGCAATCCCATATCAGCAAATGAATATCATTGTTAAAAGCTCCTTTCAAAAATGCCTAAAAGTTAGAAAGGTGATATGATAATTGAAACCTTCACCAACCTGACACTTGACTATTTGCTAGATTTTTTTTCTACAAGTTAATAAGGCTCATTGAGAAAATGTATAGAAGCTAGTGATCTACGAGCAAGCTAACTTTCTGGGGGTGGCTTAATCAGTTAATTGAATTAGAAGAAGGGTCAAAACTTTTTTCAATGTTGGGTACGGCACATGTTCAGCAGTATGTTAACAGGTTGCCAATGGGCCAACAATAGAAGTACAGCAGTCCAGAACAGATTGAAGGATGCTAAAATCACAAATGGAACCCATACAGATACAGAAGACATAAGCATTTTATCTGAAATATTGAATATATGGCAGGGCCGGGCGCAGCTCTTATATATGTCTAGGGTTTTTTATTTCCAACTTGGCTATTTTTATACATTAGAGCTGATATAATATCTGGAAGTCCCGCAGCTGTTCTGCAATTTTTGTACTATTATTTGCTAGAAATTCTTTGGAGAAGATACGCTTAGTTATCATCTCATCTCCTGTTTATCTTTTCCTATATTTGAGTATATTATTTTCAAATGAGAACTGAAAACCATCTTCTCTCTTGCTTTAAAATGATGTCATTGTTGTTTCTTATTCTGGAGTTGTCCTCTTCATTGCCATGGGGTGTTTCTCTGCTTCATGTGACATAGCTACGCTCAGGTTTCACCAACTTCCCATCGGGTTCACTAAAGTGAAATCTTGTCAATGCTATAAAAAGATTTCATCTTGGTCATGACTTCTTTTATTTGATGTTACCTCAGACTAAAACTATCTTTACTGTCGTCTCATTTACATATCTTCTCATGCTGAAGTTTGCTTAGTTACCCTAAAAATATACTTGTTTAAATCATGATTATATTCAATATAGTTTCATTGAATCTTAATAAATTGATCTTATTATAAGGTTCTTGCTTGCTGAACAAAACACTTTTATTCTTTTAAGTTGCAGTCAAACTATGTATGGTATCTTACTATCTGTTGCAGGGAAAGAAAGGAACCTAAAATCATTTATAGTAAAAAGCTCATCTAAGTGAAATGCATCAATCTCATTATCTAAGTGTATTTGGTTATTGCACGATAGTTAAGGGTATGCTCAATGTGCACAGGTTTTGGAGACAGCACATCAAGTTGGGCGAATCTCTGTGAGCACTGCACCTGACGTGTCATACAAGGAAATGGCCCATCATTGTGAGGCACTTCTACTAGGAAAGCACCAGATGATGTCCCACTTGATGGTCATGCAGCATGGACAAGAGAACTTGTTGAGCAGAACTTCTCAAAGTGTTGATGTGGACAAGCAGATGGCTTCTTATGCCCGTGTTGATGGAGGTTTCCAAGTGGTACTTCCTTGTTTTTGTATATTTCAATAAATTCATATTATATCTGAATTCAGTTCTCTTGGTTCTACCTCGCCACATCAATCTCTTGATAGAAGCTTGAGGCCTGGCACATGCATTCAACTATACGTATGCACTCTTCTTGTTTGTAATGTCATGGCATATGTATCTATTAATAAAAGATCTAGAGGTCCTGAAGTTAGGCCTTGGCATGACCCATCTTGAGGATTAGTACTTCATGTTGCCTATCTTTTGCTTGAGTTCAAAAGGAGCACTTGCCAAATGGATCTTTTTCGAACATCATACTATAATTCTGGATATATACATATGTAAGGATTAAAATTTCGTTTCAAAACGGTCGAAACAGCCAAAATATTTCCGTAAGGAGATCGAAACGAATCTGTGATGGAATCAAAATTTTAATCCTTCAAGATGTTTCATAATATTTTGACACATTTACACAATTGTTTCAGAATATTTTAAGATATTTCAAGATGTTTTGGTATATTTCAATTGATGTTTTGAAAAAATGGTTCTCAAATTTTTTATTCGTCTCCACTCTGTTTTTGAAATAAGTCAAAACGCGTTGAAACATTTCCGTTTCGGTGACTGAAACAATATGCTGAAATGAAATTTTGATCATTGTACATATGTTCTATGATTCTTTTCCAAAATTTGTAAGCTGTAACATTTTAACCAATAGCAAGTTTTAGCACACCTTGGGTGAATAAACATTTATTTGTTCTTGTTATTTTAATTGATAGTTCTTCTAGTTAACATTACTGAAGGTATATCACACACCCCACCCTCCTAAGTTCCTACATGTATTCACTTTTAAAACAATAAAACCATTATCCATTTGCTGTGAATAAATTTAATATTGTGCAACTTGATTGAATATTGCAGGTTGGCAATCCTTTCCTGGATCCGGAGGCAGTAGCAATTTCAAAAAAATCATCTGGTGTTAGTGTTCCAATGCTGTGTGCAAGTGCGTATCAACATCATCCTCACTCCTTCCTGTTACCAGCATCAAGCCCTTACGATAACTTTTTAAAAGCTGCTGGATGTTGATATGATACAAACAGGAAACTATCAAGTCTTAGATAGAGAGTTTGAATGCTCCCAAGTGGCTGCTTGACCCTCTTGCCCAAAGGCTTCCTTGGTACAAGCAGCCTATGTTTCCGAACATTTACAGAGGTGGTATACAGAAATGGGGGGCAAATTCATCAGAGCTGTGATCAGGATTTTGATTGATTTGGGAGGTTCTTCAATCAAATTCTTTCGTTCTTTTATTTTTCTCCCGTTTCATGTAATGTGTGTAGTCTATCACCATTGTGGAGGCATATTCTAGATTTTCCTCCCGGAAAGTATGGAGTTTCAGCAAGATGTGTGGGTTAAACCAGAGGGTTTCCCATCCTGTTTAAACGTTTTGATGTACAAAAACAAATATTTACTGTCGAATGTATTCTTGCCGTTTGTTTAATGGAAATATCTGTAAACTTCAAAACTTGCATAATGTTTTGGGGATGAAAGACCCATATTGTAACATCTGCACTGCTGGTCCTTTAAGTTGCTTACAGTCTGTTGTTGAGTTGTTAGCTTAGTATCCATTAGTGTCTGCTTGAAGAAATTGTGTTTGTAACTGAATACACCTTTAGGCACCATGAATTGTCTTGAAATCAAGGGTCAGGATTACATTTCGAATTAATTTTCATCTTTCTACTTGCTTGGTATGATTTTGAAGTGCATATTACACTAGTGATGATTGTAGGTTTGTAGCACCTCTCTCTCTCTCTCTCTCTCTCTCTCTCGCACGTGCTTGTGTGGGAGAGAGAGATGATGGAAGTTTGAAACTCATTTGTTATTTCGTCTCAAAATCAAAGTCTTCATTGATTACTTGAAATGGTTTTGTGAGCATTCATTCAAAGGTGAGAATGCACCTTCTTCGAAATTTGGTTGATTGAGATATCTAAAATTGCTGGAAAAGATTCCACACTCTAGGTGTCTTTGGTTATCTATATAAATCAAGCCCTTTCAAGCTTAATATATTTCTTCACAAACTTAGGTGGATGATTTTATACACCAATCATCCCACGGCTAGTCTTTTTATTTTTTGAAAAAAGAAAAAGGGAAGGGGTAATTAGGTAGTAATATTGGGTGTCCTCTATTGTGAAATGTTCTGATTGAGCCATAACTACCAACTTGGAAGGGCAATTCGTTATCACAGCACCATCAAAATCAAGTAGCATATTGTGTTACTCCGCGTATTTACTGAATTCATAAAATCTAAAAATTCATTTTACTGACGACCATCAGAAAGTCATTGCATCATGTAATGAAAGAGGAAATAAGTGAAATGCAACATTGTTGTAAACTAATTTATATGATTGTCAGTAAAATGAATTTTTAGATTTTTTAAATTTATGACTCAAATTAAAATTTGCAATTGTATATCATATAAAAGTCAATTTCACTAGTTCAATGCAACGAAAAAAATGTTTGACATAAACGATAACTTGTTCAATCGTATTCGTCCTATTGAACACAATTTTTTACTATGCGATTATTTTTGTTTGGCCCCTCACGACGAAATCTTGACCCCATCCTTGAAGTAAAAGTATGTGATGAATATCATATATTTATTTGATTTTCAAGTGCGCAAAAGGAAGAAAAAAATAATTCTTAAATTAAATTCTGAGTTTTCGTTACAGTTTGAGTAAGGGTTTTCATTTGACTTTGAGTTAGAGTTTTGGTTTCGAGTTCAAATATAGATTAGATTCAATTGTGTTCAATTTTTTATTATAGGATATAATAGTCATCTAAGAGTTTTTTTCTATTACTAATAAAAGGGTTGAATGTAATATTTCAAACACGAGGAAATTTATACGATTAAGTACCCATAAATTAATGACTGATGACTTATACCCAAGAAAAAAAAAATAAGAATGAATAACGAGATTATAAAAAAGATTAATCGAATGTCACTAACCATTAAAAAAAAAAAAGAGGTGGATGCCTGGGCATTAAGCAGCCCAAAACGCCACGTATGATCCTAGCTATTGCGCATGGAATAAACCAAAAGATCATTCACAGCTCCGAGACACTGACTACTCTCTGTCTCTGTGCAAGTCCATCGCGGTGAGTTGAGTCTATCATCTCTCTTTCTCTCTAACTGTTTGTCTTTCCTTTAGGATTTTGATTCTCCATTTCGGCTGGAATTTCTTGGATATATTCTGAGGAATTATTTTTCCTTTTGATTTTCGTTAACTGGGAGTCAAATATGCTTAATTAATTTGTTGCTTTGCTTAATTTATTAATTGTGTAGTTACTGAATTTGCTTAATTCTCTCAGTTGTGTGGTTACTTAGTTTGTTTTGCTGGATAATTTGCTTCGACTATTAATTGACACGATCAATTCGTTTTATTTAAGAATGGGCACTTTCTCTATTTTTTTATTTGCATGTTAATACAAAATTAACATGTTTAATTAATATTATATAAATAAAATATTAATTATTTGTAACTATTTATTAAGTACTGACATAATTATTGTATAAAAAAAGATATTTTTACTCAATATAATTAGTATTATTTTTATCAAGTTAATTTTTAGTTTGTAAAAAAAGTATGAGCATAAATTTAATTAAGTGAAAATATAATATTAACGTTAAATTTTTTATTCAAAGTTTACGTGGGTCAATACAAATACGAACACGAACACGATACGAAAATAAATAAATCAACTCGACACTACATAATTAGTTAAATAGGTTAAATTAAGATTGATTAATGTTTGACACGAATTCATAATGACCCAACATGAATTCAACACGACACGATTAAATTGTCACCTTCAACCCTAAGTCTTACAATAAAGTTGGACTGCCATGTGGATCTATGAATTGAGAGAGTTACATCAGTTATATGATTATGTGTACAAGCCTTAGAGGTAAGTATTGGTTACAAAGCAAGCAATGTGTCCTCAGTCAGCTAAGTACACATGTGTTGAAGCATGTGTTGATGACATGGCTTGGGCAGAAGAACCACAGCCTTTGTGGATGGCACAGTTTGGGAAATATGTATCCCATTGCTGTGTTGTTTTTCCAGCTAGAAGCCCATATAGAGCAATATGTGTTGGATTTTTGTAGAGTCTAGTTTATGAGTGTGATTCAGATAATGACCTGACCTAAAATAATGTTGCTTGATTTTTAATAAAAAAAAATTTGAGGCTTGGTCCATGGAGCGAAGGACATATAAAAACCGCTACTTTGGTGTTTAGGGTTTGATTGGAACTGAAAGTCGTTCTCTGTATTCCGCTCTGTCAATAATGAAATCCTTGTAACTTCGTGGATGTAGACAAATTGTCAAATCACGTAAAATCTTTGTGTCTTGTTTTTTCTTGTTTCTTATTGTTTTACGTTCTTGGTTTATTCTTCGATTATGTGTGTTTGTCTGTGAGTTTAAAGCGTGTTAAATCCCGACAATATGATCACGTGGTTGTCAATTATTTCCATTATCACTCATTGCATACTATCAGTGTCCTTGGGACATCTTGTTTTTGTCAGATACTATGATGTTATACCTTACTTCTTTGCGATGCTCTGCTGCATTTGGCATTGTCATCCTGTCTTTGTTAGAAAAATTGGCCATTGCTTTTCTTTGGGTGATTAATTTTTGTTTCTGGGATTAGCTGAGAAGTAGTCTATTTTTGGGATCGTATCTTGTTACACCTCTAACGTTGGGTTATTCTTTTAGTTTCTGTTGTTTGACGGCCATCTTGGAAAAATCATGTGCGTTTTTTTGTGAAAAAGTAACTAGTATTATTGATTAGACTAAAATGACATTATATCAAAATTGGACTTAGACTACGGTACCCCTAAAAAAATTTCAGTACAAATACCTCTAAAATTTACCTTTTTTTTTTTTTTTTAAGAACAAGAAGATTGTAAATTCATTTAAGTAGGAAAATGTTGAATATAATTAGAGGAAAATAAAGCCTTAAACTCAACAGGGGGCAACTGATCACAGCAATAGAATTGGATAGCATGGTTGCTACCACCCAATGAGCTACCCTATTGAGGACTCTTGGCTTGTGTAAAAAATCTAAGATCTAGGTGTCTAACAAAGTATCTAATATTTTCCACAAAGGCACTGATTTCTCAATGGGGCACCCCTTCAGTTGAGCTGAGCTACTTCCAGGCTATCGCTCTCAATCCTGATGTGCGGTAGCTGTGAAGCATTGGCAAGAAGACAAGCTTGTCTGAAGCTGCATACAGGCTTGAAACTGCTGGGATTTTTTTTTCAATTCCATCCAAAATCCTTTCATGCAAATTCCATCTAAAATTTTCTACTTCAAAGGGTGTTTCTATAATTTTTATGGGTCATTTTATAATAAAAAAATCTATCATTTTTGTAAGTGATTTATCACTTTTGTGCGTGTTTTTACCACTTTTGTTTGGTACAAAAAAATTATTACTTTTGTGGATGTTTTTACCAATATTGTAATAACTATTTTTATTTTTTTTTTGGGTACCACAAATCCATCAAAATTTGATGGATGTAATGGACACTTAAAAAAGGGCTTAGGATCAAGGTGTGAATCGGGTGGTACTTTAGGGATTGGAAGTGTAATTAACCCTTGTAGCAGTGGACATGTAATGTACATCCCACAACATGCTTCATTTGACAGCAACAGAATCAAGGGACCTTCCACCAAAACCATCCTTTCCCAGAACAACTCCACCCTTAAAATTTCCATTAATGGTAATTGTGCGGGCTCGATCCTGCACGATATATAAAAATATTGGGAACAGATCTCTTCCCTGGTGAACTCTGGGTGAGCCGGTTGAGTAGCCAAACACGCTGCTTGAAACAGCCTAGAAGGTACGGTGGCAGCCGGAAAACGGCAAAGGGAGATCCTGGGACAAAAGAGAACAAGTTAGAAGGGCGCCGGAGTGTTTTCCGGCGTATCCCCTCCGACGGTCTAGTC